ATACATTTTTCCTGAATCATCAAATTTAGTAGTTACAGATCAAATCAAATTTAGACAATAAAATACTCGCAGCAATTTATATAACAAATTAAAAAAAGTTAACTTATTTAATCTTTCCACTTTTTCATTTGAAATGGTCTTACGCCTCTTTTATTTCTTATTTATATAATGATACAATTTTGATATTGTTAATAAAATTGAGACTTTTTTATCAATGTACGTACATTTTTGTGACATGCACTTATTGTATTCATCAAGCGTTCCTCCTGTACACTTGTTATTGTATTTGATAAACGTTTTCAGTTAATGCTTACGTGGATTTGAAAGTGATCCGTCTTAATCAAATTCTAATTTCATACCTTTTAATTTCACTTTAGGCACAATAATTGTAATTGGATGCACTTTGTTAAATTCGTTTGATATTTGTTGTAGCTTTGTTAAGAAAATAGATAAGCTAACAAGAAATAGCTATTATGTATTTATCCCAAATTAAACAATTTCGCTTTCTTTTTGAATACGAAAGAACTCAAAAGATAACAAAATCATTTATTTTTACGTTTAAAAAAATTGAAGTTATTTTTAAACAAAATTTCATTTATGATTAGGTTGACGGTCTGTAACATGGTTTTGTTTCTGTGTTTAAAACGTAGGATTATCAGCAAAAAACAAATGTGTTACATATCATGAAAGGCTCATTCAAACCGAGCCTGTAATTTTGTTATGTTCATTGATTTAGAGGGATCATTTTTTTTCCAGATTAAAAAAAAAACAACACACACACACACAATTTTTTACATTTTTCCATTATTGTGTTTTCTCTTTTCTTAAACAGGTTACATATTGCTTTTATTTTACTTTTTTAATTTATCCTCTTTTAACATTGTATATTTAGTTGTTTTATAGTTATACCATCAAATTGTTATGGTTTCCATTTTTCATGTTGTGTTAATTATTGATGAATTACTTATTGGAAATGTTACATTTGACACCAAAGTGTTTAATATAGTAAAACGAAAAAAAACATCAAAAATATTATTGTTTTCTAAATAAATCCTTTTTCACATTACTTATCGTTACTATTCAATTATTACAAAAGGTTACCTATAAAATTCCCCCTCATTTACGTATAGGTTCCAATCTGTACAAAACAATTAAAAATAAATTAAAAAGATAGCTTTGATAAAAGTACATATTTACCTTTAACTATTAACATCCAATTTTTGAACGTGTCATTCTTATATTTATTTTAACACATTTTCAAATACAATCTTATAAATTTCACCACTAACGACACTATTTCACATGCAAAAAAAGTGAAAATTACAATTTGTAACAATTTATTTCCTTTAAGTCAATAGTTATCATTTGGAGTTGGTTGTAATTCTGTTTTAAATTAACTTAAGGCCACATTTTGCGTTTATCTACTAAGCTTAAAGTAAACATTAAACTTAGATTTCTCTATGTCCTCACTACCACTTTTAAGACATAAAGTTTCTCTGTAGGTTTCGATCTATTGTTCTTTACACAATTCAATATCGACAACTTTAACCGCGTTTAAAGGAATATAAGTATTGTCTTTTGTCTCCTGTAGCTTGTCAAACAATTATAACCCAGTGTATAACCCAGTGAATTTACGAATTTAATAATTAAAGCAACACTCACAGAACGTAAAGGAAATATTTTTACGTTTTCAGATCATTCTGATTTGTCGGAAATTATAATTATATGACAAACAAATACTAGTGACCGGTGGCCTGGCGGTGATTAAAGTATCTGACTCTCAACCCATTCAGGCGCAACACAGCCGTAATAGACAGCCGTCACACACATCCATGCTCTCTGGAAATGACCTCAAATATGAAATTAGTTTGTAGAACTTGTTCCAAAATTGAGATAAACTATGTATGTTCAGTTATATAAATAAACTTTGATATAATTTATAAGTGTTGTTTTATACGTTTTCCACCAAAGCGTTTGTATACATTGACACATTTTGATTAAGTCGATAAAAATATTTATAAAAAGGAGAAAAACCCAACAAACACCACCACCACTATCATTAACAACAACAACAACAACATCAGCAGCAGCAGCAGCAGCAGAAGAAGAAGCAACAACAGCAGCAGCAGCAACAACATATTGTTATTATAAAAGTAAAAAAAAGACAATACATGTGTGACCAAGTCGCTTTAAAAGGAACTCGTGCGTTGAAACAAACGTTACAAGGTTATGTTTTTTTTATTGAAATCATTAAAACAGAAGAATGCAAACAGAGTTACTCTTAAAAGTGAAACATGATTTGAAGTAGGAAGATCTTATCAGTCACCCGTTTTATGTTCTTGTTTGTGTTTTAAAAGTATACTAATACATATTTTATGTCTTATGAAATGTGATACAGAGGAGAGACAAACGATAGCTTTACAGGAGGGTTTAAGGATGACATAGAAGGTTGACAATTAATGTGTGGTTAATTTCCTTATTACTATAAAACGTGTGGGGAGACATTTGACGGCCGCCACACGGCACAATCACCAACAGAACTATCAACGTGAAAACCTTATAGGTTTGCATGCACCGCAAAGTTGGAAATATTTCAGTTTCGGTTTACGTCTGATTATGAACGGCAGTGGTAAACGCAAGCTACTGTCCATGCCCCCCCCCCCAGCACCGGTTAAAGCAAAACTTAACAAATAAAAATGGTGTTTGCTTTAGAAATAAGTAAAATCGATCTGTGTAATAAGTTAAACAGATAACTCACACGAAAGACAATTGAAAAAAGGCTTTCCAATTCGGAAATATGACATATAATTAGAGGAAAAAAGATAGCTTCCAGTATATTTTAGTATTTAACTTGCTTTATATACCCCCCAAAAAACAACGAGGACATGAGATAAGGTTCGTTCCGTTGACTGAAGTATGGAGGTCTGTCAAAAACAAAAAGCATAATTAGTGTTCTTAGACTGTTCATTTTGATTTAATAATAAAAACAAAACAGCGTTAGCCCAACAAGCATCGCTTACAGCAATATTCAATTATCTTAAAAGATAAAGATTATAGAACTATAAACATGTATGTATAACACAATGTTTATTTTTTTAATTCTTTGTTATAAAGAAATGTACACTTAATTGATGGAATATCATGACGTAAAATAAAGTATTTAACAACTTGTTAGTGAAGTGATATACGCCACTTTAGCTGAATCCTAATGCTAGTAATACTATTTCGAAACATTTTTTTTAACTAGACATGTATTTCATAATTAGAAACTTATTTTGTCGTTTACTTAATGTAAAGTGCACTAAGTTAAGTTTGATATATAACTTATACGTGTAAATACACAATTAAAAACTTCTAAATAGAGCGACGTTCGCGCAGTTGGAATAATTTGAAGAGGCAAAATTTTTTAATGAAATGATATGTATACCAATATAAGAATAGTAATATAGGAATACTAATATACGAATATGAAATAATAATACGAATATACGAATACTAATATACGAATCCGAATACGAATATAAGAATACAAATTTGAGAAAAACGAATACTAATATAAGAATACAAATATACGAATACGAATATACGAACTCCATTAAGCATAAAACAATAAACATTACTTATAGACAAAATAACAATGATACACAAGAAAATAACGGTTAACAATATACAGTTTTTTGAAGTATTAAAGTTAACATAGGAACAAATAAGACATGTACTTGTCAATTATATAGTTATATAGAAAAAAAAACTAGATTAAAAAAGATACATATCCACTTATCTTGTTGAATATGAAACGGAAAATTTACTCTTAAAAAACCTTTTCAGTAAAGTGATATGCACATATTTATTTTACTTTTTAAATACACATTGCATACTTTTTAATAAAAGTAAATTACTTTTATTTGAATGGTTTTTATTGAATCAATTTATAATTATTTGATCTAAATTTATTTTTTAATGCAAAACATAATCTTTAAACATACTTATTTTGTTGAATTTTTAAATGGACAAAAAACGCGTTCCTCATGCATAATATTTTTTTTATATGAATTGTGTTTTCAAATGCATAATGCAATCTTTCAACATACTTATTTGCTTGAATTTTTAATGCAATGCACACTCATTAAGTACTTAAGAGTGATAATAGGCAATAATGTCATATCCAGAATACTTCCAAATAAAGCACTCTTCCTTAAGTACATGTATATATAAAATGACAACTTAAGTACATCTATAGGTCAAAAAACAACTTAAGTATATGTATACGTCAAATGACAAGCTGATCAAATAAGCTAAGGACAAAATATCGACTTTGAAAAAAAGGACAATTCATAGTATTTGAAGTAGAGTATATAAAATGAATTTGCTTGGTACGGCTTTAAATCTACTTTTAAAAGTACGGTTTATTAAATATTTAATATATACAAATGACATGTTTAAATGAACTGCAAAAAAATGATAAAAAACACAGTTGAAAATCATATTACTTTATGACATTAAGAGTTTAAGCTACGAACAGAACAAATGATATGGCTTGCAATACATTTGTATTTACTTATTAAATGATATAGTGACGCATTTAATTTACTACTAGCAACAAAAATGGAGAAAAGGGAATCCAACGAGAGAATTGTCAACAATAGTAAAAAGTTGAAAACAGGTGACGCGATTTGACCGAGTCTGTTTACGAGAAGTGATAAAAGATGCAAGATCTTTTACGCTACCTAGCACCGGCTTAAACGGTATTCAATCCTCAACATTAAAAGTTTTTTAACCAATGACCCCATTAAGTCAAAATAGCAACGCTTAAATAAAAAAGCTTATTACATGCATCCGAAATTTTGCAAGAGTGCAAACTATACTCAACCACTACGACATTCAAACAACGATATAATAAACTCATAAAAAACACAAGTAAACAAAAAGTTCCCATAACGTATTGCATTAAACTATTAATACATTACTTAAATGGAGTAATATAAAAAGATTCGACATACCTTTTAAGAAATGACAAATTATCCTTCTGATTAGTCCCATATATCTTCAGAAAGTGAATAAAGAAATAAAATGCCTGTATTAATTGTGCAAACATTAGATTTTGTTAAATATTCATGAAAAAAGAGTAGTACGTCAGTAACTGAATGGGAATGGGGGCAATAGCAAATATTGGACTTTCCATTTTTGGGAGGGCTTGGCCGTTAATATGTTTATACTAAAGTTAGATTAATAATGAATGTAAATCTATTGTTGTAAAATAATGGCAATGATTTTTTGTTTTTCCAATTGTTATATCGAGTGTCAGTTACATTATAAATGTCCTATTTTTGCGGGTAATTTGTTCGTCTTCTACCAATAACTTAGTTATAAGCTAGTTGTCATTATATGTTAGTCTATTCATATTTTAAAAAAAAATTCTTTCAATTATGTGCGCTTTACATTTCGTTTAAAGTTTCATTAGTGCTAATGCACTGTTAACTTAATATTTAGTTGGGAGTATGTTGTTAAATATGATATTTATAATTAACCTGCTGATTTTCTTAATTTTCCAGCTTCGATGTTTTGGAACTATACATTGTCAATATATTGGGATATCAAGATTTATGTTGGTCAGCCAACAATATAGAGTCTGGTCAAACTCCATGGATGTTCCAAATTGATAATAAAAGCTAACCACCTTTGTTTCTAGTAGGTTAAACTGAATGATATAAAAGGTAAAGGTTTTGTTTATTATAGTGTCACTCCTACTGAAAGGGCAAGCCATTTCTGAATTACGAGACACATTTATGTTTGCATACCATGTACCTCCCAACTGCTACCATTATGTCAGGCGCCAGGTGAATAGAAATTGGTAACAGACTTTAGTTAATGAATTTTTTTGTTTAGTGTTTGCTTAAAATATCTATTTGTTTTAAATATCATCAATATTTATATAAATAAATCTCTTTTGAGATACGAACAAAAACATAGCAGCGTGTGGTGAATTGATACAGTATCACATTTCACCAATTACAGTTTAACACTTCAAGTAATGCATATAAAAATATGTACATATTTATATAACAATTAAAAACTAATTCTTCAGGTTTGAAATAATTTTCAATTTCTTAAAATTAAAAAAAAACTTGGATTGATTTTAATGAATGGATAAAATTTATTTATTTTTGACAAAAAAAAGTGAAATTGATACATTATCATCTGTCGCTATTTTATTGTTAGCAACCTCTAGATATACTAAATTTAAATTTACTTTTCTTTCATAAATCTCATAGCTGCACTAGTTCGGTTTCGATCTACGTTAAATATTATTTCTTCTTTTAACCAATTAAAACCCGTAAAACAAACAAAACATCAATATATGTATAGAACAATTGGATATTAAACACGTATTGCTTATTGACCTTGACCTTTTGGAACAGAAAGTGATTAGTCTATGTCACCGGTACAGAGTCAGTCCCCCCTGCACACCCGTGCAGTCTAACCAGGCTCTATTTTATATTTTGTTTATCCATTTTTTGTGTATATTGTTATAAAAATTCCTTAAACTTTGAATTCAATGTTCCGAATTCAAATCAAACAAGCAAAAATATTTTTTTTTTTAAATCTGCAGGTTGTGTGTATTATCAAATACAATGGCAACGTATATAGATGCTCACACAATTACTTTTAACGGTAACTTAATATATAAATATTATAAATAAAACATCAAGATCAATATTGATCATCGGAATAAATCAATAAATCATTTAAATGTAAATATTTACATGTTTTATCGCATTAATGTACCTGAATAAATTTATAACCCTAAAGGTACACAAATAATTGTTTTATGGTTATATATGTTAAGGGGATTTATAAAGGTCAGGGATAACGAGAAAAATATTTACTTTAAGTTATTAGTCTGACTGTTTATTACGCATCTCAATCTAAATAAGCATAAGTAATCCTTATAAGAAAAAAAAACAACATAAAGAATATAGTCTTAAATAATAATTATTATTGTAGATATGATATTGAAACAATCTGAAGAAAAAGTGATTCATCGGAAGCAATAATCACAACAAAAAGTACATGAAAGTTGCAGACTCGGTTTGATTGATATACAAGAGGAATAATGCAAAAGTGCAACATCCCTTACCCCCCCCCCACCCAGCACCGGCTTGAGCGGTACTTAATTTACAACACTTAATGGTGCTGGAATCAAAGATCACGAAGGACCAGAAAAAAAAAGCAACACTAAATAAACTAAAATTACAGACATTATACAATGACAACAGAGAGAAATAACTGCAATTCCGAATCGACAGCAGAAGAACGTAAGCAAAACCTTTGTCTTATTTAAACAATAATGACTTTATTCTTATTACACGTTTAACAAACGAAATAATTTTTTTCGTATCAAAGTACAATTTCTTTTTTCTGTAATGGAATATGCACGTCAATATTTTGTTCACATGGGACCGAGGATGTGGTGGGTGATCTTTCCTTTACAAATATCTCCTTGGTTAATCTATAAACAGTTGATAGATATTTTATTAGACACAATTCATCTCTCTTTATTCGCTCAAGTTACGTTGGCCTTTTTGAAATCGTAATTTTAACACTTATAAGCAATGTATTTATATATTTAAAAAAAACTGTTTAAAGGTCCTTAAGATTGTATAAATACGTGTCAACGTTACATATTAATAAACTTTACAGGTACAGAACTTTTATTGAATATCAAAAAATGCTTTAGTAAATATTTACTTTCCAGTTTGAAAAAGGATCCTTGTTTGATATACAAACATATATAATGACACTAAAGTTAAAAAAGTAGCTACATCTTTCAAATGCTTTTAAATTCATTCGCTATTTTTTTATTATCAACTCTTTCAGTTATCTTGAATGATGCAGTAAAATAACATTTAACCACACTTTCACACTTGAATTTTAATGAAGGGAATTGCCATGAAAAAGAGCCTTTTATTTCTGTAATAGGTCAAGATCAATGGCTCAATATTACCGACATCATTACTAAGGTGGATTTAAATGATTAAATATGTATATTATACCTCATTTGCATACGCCCTTCTATATTTAATATGACGTCATCCGGTCCATAAACCGCATACAGACCGGGGGCGGTCCATAATTCTTATATGGACCGGATGACGTCATATTAAATATAGAAGGGCGTATGCAAATGAGGTATTATATTTTATTTTGTTGTTAAATGAGTCTTTTTTACTAAATTTATTGTTTTGTTTCAAATAAGTTTATTACATGTTGATCAAAGTCTTGATTTGTCTTTAAATTGATTATAAATTTATTGATACAGTTTGTGAAAATCTGAAAGTTCGGGGTTTTTTTTGCCTGTTTAATTCGATTAACAAAAATGAATAACAAAAGAAGAGCATGATTTTTTGCTGTATCGCTTGAAAATAATAATAAAAAATTCGACTAGGGTTTGAGATATTTCACACACTGAACAAATAACTTATTATTTGAAAGCAAATTATAGTAAAAATGACAGCAACAAAAGGGATGAAAGAATTTAGATTCGGTATAATATAACAAATAAAACATGGCCTTTCGGGCAAAATGCAAGTTTACGGACTGGTTGGTCAGACCTCGGAAGGTATATGTCCCTCAGCTGCGCTTCGGGCCATATACCTTCCTCAGTCTGACCAACCAGTCCGTAAACTTGCATATTGCCCTCAAGGCCATGTTTTATTTGTTAAATAAAAATATCAGTAAGATCTGCGCATTGCATCCGAAGGACATATATGTATATGTATGTATAAATGTGTATGTACATATATATATATATATCCGCGCAGTCTGATCAGGATACATGCTGTTCGCTTACAAATCCTATTACAAGTAGAGAAACTGATAGCAAACAGCATGGATCCTGATGCGCAGGCTGGTCTTGATCTATGCTTGTCGCAAACGCATTACGTTGGTTTTGTCGTGACGCGACTCATATGTTAATTTATAAATAAGTTGATATAAGCGCAAGCATTCTTAATTTTCTTAATATTTTCTTTTTGTATGATTTTCATCGTTAACTTCGAACAATTTCAGCAGAAATAAATCAGTTCCTATAATAAAATACAGACGAATCCAATATACCATATAAAAAGTGATAAACAAACCTTTGTCTACTTTTAATCAGCGTGAAATATATATACAAATAAAATGTTTGATTTGTCATTTCAAATTCTACAACTACTTATAAATAATATTTATGATGGTATTACAAATATTGCTTTTTATTTCTTAATGAATAATGTAAATATTGATGGCGCTCGTCACATTATCATATTTAAATAAGATTATTGTTCTCGCATAAAGAATATGTTTATTTTGTAAGTAAACATATATTTTTTTAAGTGATTTAGTAAAATCACTAAGAACAAACGGTCAGAATTGTAGATTAACCGGTTAGTAATACAAAAATGGTTGACCCCACTTACCGAAAGACAAGGGGTTCGCTTGATCAAAACTTCTCAATGCGTTCGAAATCAAATTTTCCGAGTGGTTTAGGTCACCACTTAAACATAAAAGTGAAATGAAGTATACACGGTCATTGAAAAAAGGGCAAACTAATTTATTTTTCATCATAACTTAACGTTACCTTTTACAAATCTGAAAAAAGGCCAAACTTTGGTAATGCATATGGCGACACAACTGTTTCAGATCTAACATATTTGAAATTTACAAAATAGCAAAGAAGAACATTGTTTGAAACAACATAAGATAACGTGATTTGACCTCTGTTGAAGATTAAGGACCAATAATTTATTAAATAAATAATCAGTATATGCCCTTGGAAAGAGGCCAGAACAAGATCAACAACAACAGCAACAAAAACAACAACAACAACAACAAGACCTACATCAACAACAACAATGACAACAACAAGATCAACAACAAAAAGCACAATAAGACCTACATCAACAACAACAATGACAACAACAACAACAACAACAAGATTAACATCAACAAGACCTACATCAACAACAACAATGACAACAACAAGATCAACAAGATCAACAAGACCTACTTCAACAACAACAACAACAAGATCAACATCAACAACAAGAACAACAAGACCTACATCAACAACAACAATGACAGCAACAACAAGATCAACAACAATAACAACAAGACCTACATCAACAACAACAATGACAACAACAACAACAACAACAAGATCAACATCAACAAGACCAACAACAGCAACAACAACAACAACAACGACGACGACGACGACAACACTAATACATCTACTTTTGCTAATAATACTAATACTACTTCTACTACCACTAATAATAATAATAATAATAATAATAATAATAATAATAATAATAATAATAATAAATAATAATAATAATAATAATAATAATGATAATGATAATAATAAATAATAATAATAAATAATAATAATAATAAACATAATAAAAAAATTATAATAAAATAATAATGATAATAATGATTATAAATCAAACTACAAAATTTAAAATAAGTATCTTTCAAAATATCATTTTAATCAAGTAGATGTTGTACTCACTGTTCTGTTCCAGTTTTTCATTCAGCTGTTCATTTCTCAAGTAAGATAAGTAGGCATATATATAATAATTGTATAAAACATACACATACATGTAATTACTTATAATAATACCATAAACCATGGATAAGATAGGTGTATTACTTTGCTTTACATTCTTATGTTCCATAGCACACATAGCTGAGGTGAGACGATTTTATTTTATTTTTTTATTATAAAATGAACACATTTTTATGGTGGCCGGTAGCAACCATATTTTTTTTTTAAATTTTATATCGCGGGCAACTTTTAAATCTTTTAAAATGTTGCGGCTTATAGAAAGGAAACCACGACATTTTTTGCCTACATAGTAAGAAGCAGATTGCGGCCATTACAATCCGCGATATTTTGTTTTTATGCATACCATGTAAAAAAAGTCGAGTTTGGTGACGCCGATTTCTTTCTGTTCCTTGCCTTTTTATAGACAAACGAGTGATAAAATGTAGAGACAAATCATGGACGCTACAGGCCACTGGAGTCAAAATGTTCCTTGCTGTTCCAACAATATATATTTATATGTTCCACGCGACACTTTGTACGATTTTGGCAGAAAATCTCGCGGGTTTGTAAGTTGCCCGCGACCTTTTATGATAAAATGAAACATTTTCTAGCGGGATTGAGATGGCCGGCAACCATATATTTTATCACGCCTCCAGATTTATACTTATTTTCATGAATTTTATTTAAATGAGTTAAAAAGTGAAATATTGTCAGGTGAACAAAGCAAGAAATTTACTTATTGCAAACGGCACTTAAAATCTACAAACACTATATTAATTTCATAACAATTCAACAAAGATGCGATTCAACTTTCATGAAATATTGTTATGGAGCAAATTTGAGGAAAATATGAAGAAAAAATAAATGTTTATTCCTACAGGGTACAATCTGCAAGAATGACACAGATTGCGGACAAGGTGAATGCTGTTATATCAAACCGGATATGGAAGTTGTGAGCAAGAAAAGACAAGTCAATATTTTGCCTGTACCTGTTATACCGGGTCATCATGATACAGGTATTCCAGGGTGAAAAATATTTCTTCATATCTAAAATACCGTTATACCAGTGTGGTTCTATTGCAAAATATGGTGTAGCAGGATAATTTGATACAAATACCGTTATAACACGGCGTAAATCCGTGGTTATGATAACCATGGTGATTTTGTTACTTCTTCATATTCAAATAACCGTTAAACCAGAGTGTTTCAAATTAAAAAAGCCCGTTAAGTCTGGGTGATTTCTTACTTCTTCCTATTCAATATACCGTCGTTTTTATCTTTTGTTTTTTGAGTGTCCCAAACAGAAAATGTTGTGCCATTGGGTTTGCTAAAATACCGTTATATAAGTGTGATTTGTAAAATATTTTTACGTCCAATTACCATTTCGATATTGTTCATTTCTGCTAAAACCGATGCTTGGGGCGTTGACGGTATGTTGCATTATAAGGTATAAGCAACACTTTCCCTGTTGCCTTGTTGGGCATTCTATAAGGTTTCCAGTTTATCTACATTATAAACAGCGTCATGGTGTACATTTCTTTGTAGGTGTCTGCGAAAAATACCGCGTGGAGCATGATTTCTGCGGGTTATTGGAGCAAGTTAATGGACATTGTGGATGTGGACCAGGCTTGACTTGCCAGTTTGTTCCTCTAGGATCCACCTTGTCGTCGCTTGTTGTAAGCAAGAAGAGGGATATTTATATGCCAGGTCCAGGGCATTTTGGTTGCGAGGTGAAATCATAAATATGCCTAAAAAGTTTGTTATTCCAACCCAAAATTGAATAACATATTAAATATTTAGCAAATACCTGTTTTCAAATTTACTTCTCTTAATACTTAAACATGCATGTTGTGTCTTCCATTATTCACCAGTTTCAGGATCTATCAAATCGTGCCTGCAACATTTTCAACTTTATCGTTCATGGTGTTCTTTAGGGATTCAATTTTTTTGTTTTGTGTCTTTTGTACTGGAAACACTTGTAATATCGCGCCTACGAGAAAATTGCACATTTTAACCCTTTGAGTTAGATATGAAAGTTTGTTTCTGAATGTGAGCATTCAGAATGCAGAAGAAAGCAAAATCACCCTGATCTTTAGATAGAATTCATAATTGTATTGGTTTAATTTTTGTCTCGGAAAAAAACTAGAACATTAATCATGAAATGAAATTTACATTTTTTTTAATTCTGTAAGAATTATATAAAAAATAGGGGTATAATGAGTAAAAGAATAAAAATATTCTTAAACGTTTATACTCCTTTATTTCCTTTCTTTATAGACGAGGCTGTTTTAGGTTATTGAATTTGTTCAATAATATTGTCCATATTCAATTGTCCATACAATATATTGTTAATGTATCCTTATGTTTCTTCGTCAAGGCACACAACTCTTAACAGTAAAAACAGACGGTAAAAAGATTGCATCTCTTTGGCCTTCACATTTCCTTGACCATGTTGGAGTTTAATTTACGGAGTTTACAAATTTTACCCCTAATAAAGCATTTTAAGCGTGCATACAAATATCTCCCATTCAAATGTAAAATTTTCCTCGTTCCGTTAATTTCACTAAAAACGCCAACCGTACTCAAAAATTCATTCTTTCAGAAAACATGAGATCTTGTATTTCGTGCCTATTTCTTTTTACGAACATGTCAGCTCACAGATGAGTTTTTTAAAATAAACATTGGTCGTTAATAAGAGCATTGATATGTGAACACCTTTTTTAAATAAAAAAGAACAACACATTCAGAGATGTTGTATTTCCGACCCTTGAATATTATTTAACACGACACAATTATTTGTTCCGTTTCTTTTTGGATGGTTCTAGTATTCATATATGAATACAGTATGATTACCATAATGATATGTTGTCCCGGTGTATATGAATACAGTATGATTACCATAATGATATGTTGTCCCGGTATATATGAATACAGTATGATTACCATAATGATATGTTGTCCCGGTATATATGAATACAGTATGATTACCATAATGATATGTTGTCCCGGTGTATATGAATACAGTATGATTACCATAATGATATGTTGTCCCGGTGTATATGAATACAGTATGATTACCATAATGATATGTTTTCCCGGTGTATATGAATACAGTATGATTACCATAATGATATGTTGTCCCGGTATATATGAATACAGTATGATTACCATAATGATATGTTGTCCCGGTGTATATGAATACAGTATGATTACCATAATGATATGTTGTCCCGGTATATATGAATACAGTATGATTACCATAATGATATGTTGTCCCGGTATATATTGAATACAGTATGATTACCATAATGATATGTTTGTCCCGGTGTATATGAATACAGTATGATTACCATAATGATATGTTGTCCCGGTGTATATGAATACAGTATGATTACCATAATGATATGTTGTCCCGGTGTATATGAATACAGTATGATTACCATAATGATATGTTGTCCCGGTATATATGAATACAGTATGATTACTTGTATAGATATGTTGTCCCGGTTCTATGATAACCGCCGTATGAACACATTTGCTGATGTTTCTAAATTCAAAATTTCACCATTGTTAAATGTTGAATTCTGCTTAAGCCTGTGCCACGGGCTTGGACGGTAGCCTCTACTTACCACTACCGCCCAATGGACAGGCTCAATCAAACCGAGCCTGTAACATTTTGTATTTTGCCGTTTTGGGCGTTCTGCAAGGATTCCATATTTTCTATTTCAGAGGAGCTGAAATATGGAAATATGCCATTGGAATACACGCAACAAATTATGCATGAATAAATAGTCTCATAGCATTAATAAAAAATTTCAATAAATACAGAAGAGACACGTGGTATGACATTCCATTCATTTATTTCCAAACACAAATTTTACACACATGTCTAATAAATGTAATAGTACGTAAAAAGTCAATGTTGCAAAATGATGACGTCACTAATATCGTCATTTTGCAAAATTGCCTTTTCGCGCTCCATCACATTTATAGGGCATGTGAATGTCATTTGTGTTTGTGATGTGATTTGATAAATTTAATGTCATATCATATTTAATCCCGGTATTTATTGAAAATTTCAGCATGATCGGAGCAAATATTGGTTCAAATATGAGACCATTTATACATGCACATTTATAATATTTGTTATGTGTATACTTGTAATTTTATCATTTAATGTTTCTTTTCCTTTTAAATTTCAGTGACTTGACTTAAAAAATCAGAGAAATTCAGCTCAAAATCATTTTTATTTTTCAAGTAAATATTTTGTAAAAACATATTTATTTGCTATAAAAATGGTTGTAATACGCTTCCGTAAGCGCCGTGACAGAATATTGTCCGTATGTACATATGGCAATCTTCTTCTCCCCTCGACAATACTGATATTCAAAGTCACTGCACCCTCTACACGGCACGTCAATTACACAGTCTGTAGCCACCACGCATGCTAAAAGTAAAACAAATGATATAAATAGTACGTCATTGGGGGAAAAATACCCTGATCCGTCTGTCCACCCATTCATGCTGTACTATGCTATGCTATGTTATGCTATGTTTTGCAATTCTATGCTATGCTTCGCTGTGATATGCTATATTACGCCATGCTTTGCTATGCTACGCTACGCTACGCTATGCTATGCTATACTATGCTATGCATGCTTTGCTATGCTATGCTACGCTACGCTGTGATATGTTATGCTACGCCATGCTTTGCTATATTATGCTATGCTATGTTATGATATGATATGATATAATATGCTACGCTATGATATGCTATGCTTTGCTTTGCTATGCTATGCTATGCTATGCTATGTTATGCTATATGATATTATATCATTTGATATGCTATTATGCTATGCAATGCTATGCTATGCTACGCTATGCTATGCTATGCTACGCTATTCTATGCTATGCTATGAATTGATATGCTATGATATGCCAAGTTATGCTATGATATGACATGCTACGCTACGCTATGCTACACTTTTACTTAAAAGTTAAAACATACAAATACGTTAAGTTGGTATACACTACATATTTTCTATATGAATTGTTTTAGTTTTGTACATGAACTAATGAATTCAGAAGTGCATGCATTTCATTGTCAATTAGACAAAGAAACAAAAATGAAATGTTTATATGATGATGTAATTAAACTTAAATTATTCACGTTTGAATGAAATACTTAAAATAATGAAAAACAAAAATAACATGGCAGGCGAACAAAGGACGCATTCTTCTGATGATTTAAATGTTGTTAGACAGGTGAAGAGAATACAAAGTCCTAAAATTTAAGCTTGAATAAGTCCTGTATGACAAATGTATAGACAAAGTTCCATGATTTGTTTAATCAAATATGGGTTTTGAGATCAACAAGTAAGAGTAACGTTCTCAGAATGCAGGTACACAAAACGTGAGCGTGAAAAAACCTGTTTCTTCAAGCCGTATACTGCGCTTTTCATAAACACATAAAAACGCGGTTTTCTTAATGACATAAAAGCAGGAAAAATATATAATTAATTTCATTTAAACGCTGCATAATCTTAGAATTTAAACAGAAATAGTTAAGCAAAACAATCTAAGGGTCAGCGGTTTCGTTTTCGAAACATCTCAACGTTATTATTAAGGTTTTGCTTAGTCAGGAAAAGGGCACAATATTGAGTATTCATTATCTCCTTCGTCACTATACTCATTTTTCGTAGAATATTATGCATCATTTTTGTCCTTTTTTGCACTTAAAATAATTAGACGGAAAATTCTGAATAAAAAGGCCAAACTGATTTCAGAAAGAAGGTAAAAAAATAAACAAACAACTGTTTACCAGTACTTGAAATTTTGTACAATCACTCTAAGAAAGGCAAGAATGGCCTTGCTAACCTTGATTGCCTTGAATATTTTTTTTAAAATTAAAGATTAGGTAACTCGAAAACAAGCTGAGTTACCCGATTTTTTTAAATTAAAATATTTCATTTATCATATACTAAGACCATACAAAGTTAAAATGAATAGCCTATTGTACAGTTTTCATTTTGTCTAAATGTATCAGGTTTTTTTGGCTTATTTTATAGCCGTTATAGCTCATATTCCAAATTAAAAACAATTGAAAACAGTATATTATTGTCCCAATCCACAGGAAAAATTCCCAATTAAAAGTTACAAAATAAAAATATTGAATAAAAATTATAAAATCTTTGCAAATAAGGACTTCTTCAGGGTAATAATACTTAAATGTTTGAAGATACCATCATAGACAAAAATTGTTTGCGTCCATTTAATCACTGCAGCATTTCAGTCATGCATTTATTCCCTAATTTTAACAAAACACCGCTGAAATTCCCGATTCCGTGGGTATGGGTCATGTTCCCAAAATCCCTGGAAATAATCCCTGTTTGTATACACGAATTTTAACATACAAAAATTTCATTCTGCTTGTGCTTTCGTTCTTATTAATATAAAGTTTAAATCAAAGTGTCTAAGTGCAACAATTATTATAATTTTCAAGCTATTTTAAACCATGTCTTGATTAAGACAATTTCATAGCGTTATATCCTTATCGATTTAATTTTACACGAAGTTATGTTTAATAAAAGGCTTTAAGAGTAAAACATAATACTTTTAAAAAGAATGCAAAAGTAATGGTAATTTTTAATATTAATTTTTACAAAACCCTCCGTTTATAACTAGCATTTTTCATTTTAACATGTACTATATTTGGAATTCTTGAGACCATCGCGATTAAATGTCATACATATGAAAAACCTACCTCAATATATATTTTAGATCTTCTTTTGGACATATTTAGGGTACATGTTATTAGAAAGAAGGACCACATCTTATTCAAGGACAGGTCGTAACAGACAAATTGAGTCCTTTCCGTAATATTGTAAAACTCAACAAAAAAAAAGCTTAGAAATCATATGTACAGCATTATCCGATAGATTGACTAATCTTTTTATCAAAAGAGGCAAAAATGATCTACAAATGTATAAAAGAAATATAGGCTTACTGTTTGAAATTCGTTCTCCATAAGTAACTGGCTTTTGGGCAATGTAGTTGTTTCCAGTATTCTTACCATTTCCATATTTTTGGGCTAGGAATTTGATCCAGCCGTTTCCCTTTTCATTATTCACTTTCGGTTGGTAAGCCGGTTGTTTTGTTGTCGGGGGAAGCGTTGTTGTGGTGGTGGTGGTGGTCGTCGTCGTAGTTGTCGATGTGGTTGTCGGTGCTGGCTTATCCCACAACCATTTGTTGGTGTACTCACAGAAAAATGTTATGGGCAGATCGGTATAATCTATGATCGGGCTGTATGTAGGAGAATTCACCTCCCATATACCGAGCATTGCTTCTTCGTAAGAATTCGAGTACTGATGAGGGCTTTCACTCGTAACTTTAAACCCTCCTCCAAAATTCATGTTAATACTACCATATACTTTAGAATTAAGATAAGGCTTACAAACCCTGCCACAAGAGTCATACGCTGCGGCTATAAACTCGGATGGAGTACTGGCTGTCGGTTTTCTTACAGGTAAAAATCCATTACCTTGCGACACACCAAATCTGTTATCGACAACTACATATTCTTCCGCGTGTCCATCGTAGTTAATACCCCAGGATACGACACTGATTCTACCGACAGCACCTTGCCTATTATTGCAACCTTCAAATTCGTACTGGTATCCAGATTTTAGAAATTCATACTTATAGCCAAGTAATGTTTCGTTCGCCCATGCGTTTTTAGGTTTGTACAGCGAGTACGAATCGAATCCGATGATCGTATCGGGTCTCTTAGAGACGACGTTAAATGGAATGTAAGCCCAATCTCCGGCATCAGTCATTTCCTTCATATTAACATCATGGATAAGTTCATATCTTCCACAGTTGCCTCGAGGTCGAGGTATATATTTACTTCGAGGTTTTGTTTCCGGAACTGGTGTACCTCTTGTCGTTGGTGGCGGTTTAGTTGTATGTACGTTATTCATGGCAAAGTGAGAATTATCAACTGCAATGTTAGGACGATCAATGACAGCGTTTGAGTTATCAATATTACTGTGTTGATTATCATTGAAAGCTTGTGAATGACCAACATCTATAAACGAATTATCAACAACAGTTTGTCGATTAACAATGGCAGCTTGAGAATTACCGAATTCATTTTGAAGATGATCGTTAACATGTCGTACATTACCAAAGTCATTTTGAGAATGATCAACTTGATTGATAGCATTTTGAAGATTATTATCAATAAATTGTTCATTACCAAAGGCATTTTGAGAATGATCAACAGGGGGTTGACTAATAGTATTTTGAAGATTATTATCAATAAATTGTTCATTACCAAAGGCATTTTGAGAATTATCAACTGGGTTCTGAAGATTATTGTTAACAGGTTCATTAACAAACGCATTTTGTGAATTATCAACTGGGTTCTGAAGATTGCTGTTGACAGGCTCATTACCAAACGGATTTTGTGAATTATCAATGGGGGTTTGAAGATTATTATTGACAGTCAGCGAGTTATCAACAGTAGTTGCGGCTGGTATAGCTTGTGTTGTTGTTTGTACATTTGTATTTCCAATCGTTGCTGCAACTTCATCAATTGTTAAAGAAACGCACTCATTCATGCTTGTTTCACAATAGAAATATGGTGATCCGTCGCAGTCTGGACATGCAGGATTTTCTTGATACTGAACCAAGTCAAAAAATGCGTTACTGTACCCGATCCTTTGTGTTAGAGCTGAAAGCTGAAGACCAAGAACCGTTGGACTTCCACCAACGTCTGTGAAACCTGCATTAGCGTCAGGTGCATGTTCAACACGGTAACGAGGGTCATTTGCAACGAATGGGTAATCCGTTTCAGGATTCGTGCCACTAGCACGTTGTCGTACTCGAAACTGTTCCCAAACGTAGTCAACATATGAATGGTGTGAGAAAAATATCGGATCAAACGCAGCCCTGTTTAGGTTAGCCATTGTTCCGCCAACAAAATTATGCGGACCACCATGGATTTGTTCCAAATTGCTGTCAAACCTGGCTAATGGTAACAGTATTTCCTCGTTTAAGTTTCGACTGATTACTCTATTAACTGCAGCCAATGACATTAGAGGGCCGCCGCCAATATTTCGTCTAATTCCCCATCCTGCAAAAGGTCCACTATTAACATTACCGAATCCGTTTCCAAAGAATTCGTCGCTCCATATCGGTGATTGAGTAGGATCAAACATAAAATCGTCCAAATATGATGCCCAATAAGGGATTGTAACTTCTGGATCATACCACAACCTCAACAGGGATTCAAATCTGAAATGAAAACAAGTGTAGTGAACAGTTTAGTCTGTTAAAACATTGATAGCTATTAGTTTCAGTGCAAAGGATATTAACAATACATCGCTATCTGATAACAAATATCGGCGATACACCGATATATCAAAAATACCACTAATTTCTTATATTAATTCACCTGTTTAAATGATTTTTTTGTAAAATACATGTTTTGTTCATACATACGGTGTTCCGTTCGGGACAGCGCGTTTTCTCTGGGAAACACGACACTACGATGATAACAGTGCGACAGTACGATGGTGACAATACGACAGTACGACGGACTGTCAACATTCTGCTGTCGCGCATCGCCATCGTACTGTCGTATTGTCACCATCATACTGTCATACTGTCACCATCGTAATGTCGTGCTGTCATCACCGTACTGTCGCCTTCCTGTTGAGCATGGTCTAGGTCTTTTAAGAAAATACTATATTTTACAAATAAGTCAATCAAAAAAAAATCTAGATTAGGCCTGTTCTATTGAAATACAATTGAGCCGCGCCACGACAAAACCAACATTATGGGTTTGCGACCAGCATGGATCCAGACCAGCCTTCGTATTCGCGCAGTCTGATCAAGATCCATGCTGTTCGCTTACCAATCATATTACAAGTAGAGAAACTGATAGCGTCTGGATCCATGCTGGTCGCAAACGCATTATGTTGGTTTTGTCATGGCGCGGCTCAAATTATGAAGGCATAGGTTAGCGATTAAATGTTTTTCATAAAACTCTTTATTTATATAGATATATTCTGATTCTGTTTTTTTTCGATTTCCTTGGTATTTGATCTTTGATAAAGTAAAGATTTTTTAGTAAAACGCCAACATATGTTCTAAGTTTCACAAGTTCCTTCAAGCTTAGGAGCATCCAATATACACTCTAAATTAAACACGGAAATGACGAAATTACTTAAAAATCAAAACAATTCAATGATAGTGACAATACGACAGTACGATGGTGAGAGTGCGACATAACGATGGTGACAATACGACAGTCACCCTCGTACTGTCGTGTTTCTCTCTCGTACTGTCGTACTATAACCATTATATTGTCGCACTGTCGTGTTGTCACCATCATACTGTCGCACTGGCGTATTGTCACCATTCTGACGATTTTTTAAAAAAAGTGTTTCGATTACTGATCGACAGAAAAATATCAACGGTATATCGATATCGTTTATATCGATGACAGCTCTATTAATTTTTATACATTTAATGCTAATTGTTCTCATGTAAACGAATTTATCACCGAATAGGCGTTTCGAATACACGTTGTATCCCCTGAGCTCGATTAACGAATTTTAGTTTGAAAAATGTCTTTAAATGAAAAACCAGATAGTACTGCTTTGCCAATCTAATGGTTGATCCACATGAAAATAAGATACTCGTACATTTAGAGTGGGCAATACCTATAACTTACATGAACAAGTAAAGTCGATGCCAACCAACAAATGCCGGACCAATATGAGCACGGCGTATATTTTGGCCAGAGTGTAATCTTGCGATGACGTCATAAACGTTTGGTGTCAATCTCTAAAATGGAACACATATGATTAAAAAACTTGTATACAAATATTCATACGTCAATATAAAACAATGTCGTCAATCTGCAATTGCAATTTTATTCTTGCAAATTTGAAAAGTATTTGACACCTCACGAAAGTAACGCACTACAAAATAAGAAAATTGAATTATTATAAAAGAAACATACCCTATCATTCTTTGCTTCATTTAATGCCCGGAAGTATCTTTGTCGTTCACTGACCGGTATGGTTCGAATCTCGTACCTTATTCTGACAGCTGCTTGACGTTTCTGTCTTGCGTACGTTGAATTATTGTCCATTAAAGGTGTCAATATTTCGTACATGGCAGATTCAAATAGTTTGGATTCTGGTTTTGTCAAGTTTAGATCACAAACAAAAAATTTGGAGACGTACTGTTGGATGGATGACCATAGTACCAGTTGACCTGTAAGTACAAAAAATGTGTCTAAATAAAGCTTGTGATGAAAGGTACGATGATTCCAGTGAATGCTAAATCTATTAGATGGTTTTGAACTGCTTTGATTTTTGCGTCACTGATTTTAATATTAACATACAAACATTGAGATACGCATGGTCTTAACTTTTTGTTCTAACTAACCCATTATACTCAGTAAACATCAATGAGCATTTGAAAACTGTATTGATATATCCTCGTAACTAACTCGTTTCATATACTATAACTATTACTTAGAGCATGTTTAATGGAATGAGTGGATGCGGTGCTAGCCTGATTTTATACTTATGGAAAAGAAAATTACTTTCAGTTCCAGCACGTGTATGGCAAACATTTCATTAGACTGATGCATAAGTACATGAATTAAATCAACCTGTTTACACATAAGTGATAAACATGAACATTCCACATATACATGTATAGAACATATAGTAATATTACTATATTGTAACATATACCAATAATTAAAAATCACCCAAGTGAAGTTTACGTCAAAAAATTATTAAAAGTTTCGAATTACTTGTACTAATGTCTCATTTAATTTTTTTGCCCCATAAATAATGTCGTTATTATTGAAAGAAGTAAATATTTCATAAAATTTAAACCTAGATATTAATTAGCATATTTAAAATGATTAAAATATTTCTTCTAATCTGTGAGTATCAACGGCAAACACAACCAAAGTGAAATTCATCTTCAATACATTTACTGTTACAACACAAACAAAACTGGACATAATTACTGTACATGTATATATTTAAAGTAAATCTATGATATCTTAGCTAGTTTGAGTATTTCAAACAGTTTTAAAAGTAGAGGATTACTGCCAATCAAAATCACATATACATTTGTATTTGTTAAATATTCCGTTTTTTAATAAAAATCAGAGATTAATGGTTGTATTTCTGTCGAAGTATTTTAATAAAAATGCTAAAATAATTTGTTCTTTCTTGTAAGTACGATACAAAATTTAAAGCAGAATTTGTTTATTACTAATGTAATAATAGGCAGTGAGAAAACCTTAGTTTACCTGATTGCTTGCTGAGATCTCCGATTGACTGACAAGTATCCAATGTTTCCTGAAGCTCTATAGGAAGGCTGGGTAGAGGGTGCACCATGGCATGGCTGCATTTGACCTCCATGAAGAGCCATATCGCAAATATTTGGAAAGCCTACAAAAGTACAATTACAAAATGGCAAGTTTTATACAAAATATCAAGAAATCATACATCTCTGGAACCGGAAAAGATTTAAATAGACACCAGTATAGAACCAGGCCGATTCCGCGCATGCGTACATTCTGACTAGACTTTTATTTATGGTACCACTATTCTATATTTTGATATCAAAATCCATGTAACTTTGTACGTACTGTTTCAAATATAAATCTGGACAAGTTCATTAAGAATACAGCAGGTAAAGGTTAATAAACAATGACCGTCCGGTTAGCTCAATAGGTAGTGCGTTGGACTGTGAATCGTGCGACCCGGGTTCGATTCTCGGACGGTGCCTGATATCATTTCTTCGGTCATTTGCACTGTATATATATGGGATGTATAGAAGTGATCAGTGCCTAGGGAACTTGTGATAGTAAAATGCTTGACAGCCTGCCCAGGAACGATGCGTTGGCTGAACTGTGTTCACCGATGAATTCAATGTGGCTTACTAGCGTGACCTGGTGGGTACACTCCCAACACCATCACGGATAATAAACAAAACGAAGACATTTATATTATTTAAATACAGCATACTGCATGATTTCAAACAATTTAATCTATTCTTATTTATTCTAGACGCTTCCGCTTACTGTAAATAAACGAATCAAACTAAAGGACACGCATATCATGACGTTAGCAGACAAGCCACAATCTGTTCTTTGTAAGAACAGATCATTAAAATATCAAATGTATAACAGTATAATAAAACATTTTACATTCCCCATGTCTTATGAAGTCATGGCATGCCATGCGATGAAATTAATGTATTATTCACAATTAAGTATCATTATTTCTGCATTATTCTCATTTTCAAGACAACCGTAACTTTCAAGGTTTAAAAGATTTCTTTAATGAACAATTTAAAGTACAATGAACAAAATACATGACACATCAATTAATATTAAAATAATAGTTATGCAAAATAGTGACGTTACATAAAATTTGCAGTTAGGACAATTCCGCGTTTATAGGGTTTATGTAAATTTGTTCTTTACTTTCACATTTTTCACAATTTAAACAACTGGTGAACCAATTCCTATATGTTTCTGACAACCCTTTAATTGGAGTTGCCAACTTCATAGACCTCGCACATATACAAGATGCACTACTTTCATTTACAAGTTTAAGGTTGGTCAGGTACGAAGTTCATTCACCGTGTTACTTTATTATGTATGACATTCAAATGGCAAAGGGTTGAGATGACAGTCTTATATTGTGCGAGACGCATTGTCACGACCAAACATCAAAAACTTCTAAAAAAGTGAAATGGAAACATGACATCTGCCTGCTGGAATATTAATTACATTGTAAACGATACATATATTTTAGTATCAGCAAAGTTTTAAATGATTGCTTCTTGTACTTTATTACACAGACATTCATATTGACAGTCCTGTTTTGATATTTGGAATGGATCAGCAATAAAATAAGAACATCCGCAGAGTAAAAAAAATCACAGAAACGCCTTTCAGGCTTCGTTCTGATGTGAAACATGACTACTGTAAGATCAAAATATTATTATGGAAACTGCAAGCCTGTGCTTCCAATTTTATAACTATGTTGTGGTACTGAGGCCCGATCCTTTAGTCAAATTAATCGAAAGATTTTTAAAAAAAGCCTATATTTACAAAATTGTTTCTATTGTTTCATTTATTAAATTTCCAACAATACATACATTTATGTCCAATATATCGCTGTTGAATACCAGTTCTTTATATATGTAATATATACATATGCGAGTATATACTCGTACATGTATGTCCTGTGTCATTATGAAAATATTTATGCAATCTTGGTCACTCAGTTCAGGCCAAATTAAAATTTTACTGCCAGAGTAGAAAGATCAAATGAAATAGTGATTAGATACAATATATTATTTTGTTTTATAATACAGAATTGATATTGGTGACATATTAAGTATCGTGAATTATGTACACAGAGAAACATCTCTAGTAAATACAACAATTCAATTCATAAGAAGATCGAAGAACATACACAGCTATTTAAAAAAGATTTAAAAAATCACCACATGATTTGTAATCAACTGACAATATTTATAGAGCGACTAAGTCACAGTATTAGAGCGACTGAGTCACAGGACAGGAAAGAACTCTGAATAAAAATCACGCTCTCAAAGGAAAAAATGAAACTTCTGCATTTTCCGGTCTACTGTCAAACTGAACATTTCGCCGTGTCGGACGTTCCTAAATAATTCCTTTTCATCTATTATCTTACAGATCAAAACACTTGGCAACCTAAGTTTTTCTATTTATTTTAAAAATAACACCAACTCAGTTTTGCCCTTATTTTTTGTCTAAAAGCTATGCATTCGTAGCCTTAATACACTAATTAAAAAGGTGACTGAGAAAGAATAATTCATTAGCTAACCTTCATAATCATTCCATGCTGGGCAAAATCCTTTTGAAGAAAGAGATAGGTGTTTTAAAGTTATTTATGCGTAACAATGACATTTATAACTTTACGGTTTTACTTAATTAATTTTGCATTATTTGCACTTTATGGGAGTTTAATATTTCAATGCGCATGCCTTTCAATAGCCGGAAGTTGAATAAATTTTGGTAAATATGTAACATTTTATATGACACGTGATTAATTCATTAGCTTTGAAAAGTACACATGTTTACGAATCAACTAAATACAATGTAATCACGGCAATGTTTTTTTTAAGAAAGGTTATGTTATTTGTTTGCAAATATACATGGTATAAAAAAGATTCCAGGATATTTCGAGCGTATTTCACGGCCAATTCCATATTAAACACCAAAAACGTCATTACTTTTGTTTAAAATATCATATGAGATCGACAACAGATTACTGCAATGTATTTCCTTCAAACATTAAACGCTGTACTCTTAATATTGACACTGCGTTACAGTTTTTAAGCAAGAAAGGATAGATTTCTGTTTTTGATTTGTATCAGACTATCATAGATTATGTTGCAATGGTAATTTTGCTAAAATTTCTAAGACAGAAGAAATGAAAGTTTAGGATACTCTTACATTGATGTGTATTCGTGCCTCTTATCCGGAGTATACGGGAAATGTCGATGATTCACGATTGGTGAGGATACGTGCTTGATCTAACGTCACTACTTTGCTCTTCTCAATTATTTTAAATTTTATTAATTCTATAACAAATTTGGTGTAAATATATTCAACAAAACTGTAAAATGTTTCAAAATTCATTAAAGGAAATGAAATTTTGAGTTTTCTTTTATGAGATGTCTATCCGGTTATAGGCGTGTTGTGCTACTCTATACAATGATGTTAAGCACGTATGTAAACTATTATCATTTGTTTAAAATAAAATTTATTGTTCTATATTCTCATAAATCCGTCTTATTTTCGTGTCTTGTTGTGTTGCTGCCTTGATTTCTGAGAATAAAAAAGATACTTAATTGACATGCTAACACAATATGTAGGATTGTTATAAGGCATTCAAATTCAAAAAATTGACTTATAATTCACTTGGTTTAAAAAGTCTTTAAGTATATTGTCCTACAATAGGCACATTTTCCATAAATATTTCAAATAATGATAAAAACTTTAAAAAATTAAAATATTTTTTTGTGTTTTCACTTAAAATATTGCTAAAAATTTCAAGTCATTTAGCATAAAACTTTATATGATGAATGATAAACATTTAATTATCTGCTTTATAGATATATATTGTATCATAGATTTGGGACCTTTCTATGGAAGAGCATGAGTGCCAGGTGCATGTTTTTTATAAACTCGAAATTTCGACTTACATTGCACGGCTTACATTGGTTGCCGGTGAAAGCAAAGGATCGAATTCAAGACACTTTCTTTCATGTGTAGCTGTTGCACATTGACAGAAAACCTATGTATTTAAAAGAACAATTTAAATAAGTCTAAGTTTAACTTTAATAGTTTGTCCAGGCACCCGTTTCTCCGTTTCCCCATCTCCATCGTTCAACCGAACTCCCTATCTCAACTCTTGGTAACTCATAATTTTGTCCAATCTTGTAATGTAACTAAGCCGAAATTTCGAGTTGATAAAAACCACATACTTCGCCTTTCTGTTTAAAATGTGCCAGAATTAAATCGTACACACATACTTGCACAGTGCGTTAAATTGAGTGCAGATATTAATTACCCTCACTCTATGATTTTCCATTGACTAGCTTAGTTTGTCTTGGACGAGAGAGAAAGAGATAACGATAGAAATGTCATATTCAGATGCTCGTTCATTGGTTACTTTTGTCTAGGGTTTCATATTGTGACGAAAGGGAACGTCTTTTTATTTATGCCTATGATATACAACAAAGAAAAAGAAAGAACAACAAAACACTCGGCAATCTGGTTTATACTAGGAAGCTACGCCCTTTGCTTAAATCAGTCTCTAGTTTCGCTGCTCTTCTATAACTAATATCGAAGCATATACATTGGACTTGCCAACAACATTTGTATATAATTCTATCGTGCTTTGTTGTAATGTCTAATACTAATTACTATCAAAGTAATTATTTAATGTATTACAAACCTTCCATTATAGACTAATTCCTTTCAGTTATGCCATGCTGAATGTTAATGAAAACTGCACTTTTATCTTAAAAAAATGAAATATTTGATTCTATGTTTTCATAAAATTTTGCGTTTGCTTTGCTTTGTGCTGTGTGTCGTGATAGAGAAATATGTGAAATGTCTTAAGAAATAAAGTGACTTAATTCAAACATTTTAACTAATGTGGGATATATTTATAATCTATCCATATAATCAGCTTTGCAAAACATTATTTCCTAAACAATTGTAATGATATTTAGCGCAGGCTTAGCAGGAATCTGATCCCTACACACAGGCTTAAATGAATCTTTTATCAGATATAGAATGTTCCCTGACATTCAAGTAAATTGTCAAATTGTATATGTATTTTGTAACAGCGAACAGCTTCAACATAGTAAATCAGTTTTACAAAATGTTATAATAAGTAATACTTTATATCTGACAAAAGAACCACTAAGCCCGTACATAACCGATTTGCATACGATTAGAATTAATGCAGAATTGCAATCTGACTAAAGTTTTTATTTCTTTAATGTAGATCTTATGACGACGGTATATGTTTCGCTTTCTTTATAATTCAGATTTCCAGAGAAAGCTATTTTTACATAGTCATTAAATTAAACTGGTTTTACATAGGCATTAGAGGAAGTATCAAAACACAGTTATACGTGGAAGTTAAACAAATTGTTGATTTTTGTTAGAAAAAAAATGTTGAAAATATTTTTTAACAAATTACTCGTAAAATGGAGGGCAAGGTTGTTTTGCCAGTTTACCTGTCGGCTAGCTGGACATCTCAATGTTTGTTCTCAAAATCGTGAATATTATCTGCCCTGTATTGGCTTTCCCAGGGTTAAGACACCACATCGCTTTCAAAAATATGAAAGCTCGCCGATGATTGGCTGTGTGAATTGTTACCAGAAATAAGTTCGTATATGGTCACGCTAATATCTTTTTAATCAGATTGTGCAGAATTACAATCTCCCCCTTATCAAAGCGAAAACCATAATAAAGTTTACTTTTAAAAGGAAAGGCTTGTTCAGTTGTGCCATCATCCCATCTCTTTAAGATTGTTTTTTTTTTGTTTCAATTTATTATCACAATTTTTTTTGAATTACGGTATTTGTATATCATAAAGGGTTTATTTAGTTTTTTTTCTCGAAAAAAAAAAACAACAACAAAAAACAAACAAATGGATTGCAGCCACCAAAAATGACAACATGCATTACGTGATATGGTCATCTTTATTTTGTAAACTTTTATTATAAATAAGACTAGCTCATTGTTAAAACACATTTAAGGAGATCCGGCAAGGTAAAGATGGCATTATTATTGACAAAAAATGTAAGCATAACTAAACTGTATGTCTTAGACCAGGTCATTATCTCAAATGTTGGTACACGGATATCAAATGGACGAACTAGAGTTATACTTTCTGTTTCAACAGCAACAGCTTTAATGACAACAGAAGCACTCTACGTTCTTTATGAAATTTAAGACATTAAGATTGACCCTATCATGTTTTAACATTTTGTTGGACCTTCTTTGGTATGAAGTGGTTTATTTTAATCATACTATACTCATTCCGGCTTCTTTACTGTCACATTTTGTTACCCATATCTGCAACGTTTCTGAAGAGTGATCTGTAATGTTCCAGGTAGTTGCAGCAGTTGTCCAGTTCCAGAGTTAGCCCTGGTTCTTTTACATGCCCGGTGAAAAGAACCGGTACATGGGACATCGGTTTATTAAGCTTCACCCGGGAGATCATTAGAAGTGTTTGTAGAGGTGCCAGGCACGAATCAGAGGCTCAAGGATTACAAGTTGCGCGCGTTACCAACGGTCCGCTCAATTTATCATTATGCAAAATGCCATGTATCTATAGAACGAGCGATAACGTACCAATTGCTGTTGATAAGGAAAGGTAATTCTACAGGCTTTACAACATATATAACTAATTTGAATGACTTCCCTTTGTTCGTAACTATTAAATATACTCCTAATTGTAATCAGCATGTTGTGTGTTAATATACATTACTTTGACAATACAGTCGTTAAATGTAGAGGTTCGATGTTTCACTTTACATTTGTCGACTAATACAGGGTCCTTTTGGGGGGTTTCCCTTTTTCACGTTTACTATTTTTTAAATTTCTGGGTTTCTTAAAATAGTATAATAAAAAATTTTTAAAAGAATACTTTTTAAATTTTTTTTACTTTTTCAAATGTGAAAAATTCGTTTTTGGGAAAAACTTTTTTAAGAATAGTTTATTTTGGTTAAAAACAAAATTTTTTTTTCATAAAATTGGATTTTAATTTTAAGGGGGTTAAAAAGGGAAATTTTTTTTTTCCCCACCCCTTTTTAAAAAATTTTAAGGGAAATTGGAATTTTTTTTTCCCCGTCCATTTGAAAAAATAGGCCCGGGGAAACCCCCTTTTTCAAAATTAAAAACGGGTTTTGGCATAAACGCGGGTTATAAAATTTAAAAGAAAATTTTATGGGTAAAAATTTTTTTCCTTTTAACTCAAATTTGGTTGGTTTTTTTTTTGGATGGGAAAAAGAAAGTATATATTTTAGGAAGAAATTTCTTTTATTTAAATTTTTCTTCTAAAAATTTACTATACTTTTGATGAAAACATACATATTAAATGTTAAAACAAATTAAAACAATTTTTGCAAAATCCATTATTGGAATATAAAGAAAATGGGTCATGAGAAATTAACATTAAAATTAAACAGTTTATCTAAACTAAACATGGTAAGTCAAAATAAAATAAAAAAGGCACGGATAAAAACCTCGGATCACATTCATTAAAGAAGTTTCTGACATGTAATAAAAAAGATTAATTTATAAGGTAATAAAAGGATGTGGTGAACCATTCCGCATCTATTGCAAAATTTTATTTTACAATGTTTTAAACCACGTCTGTCTAAAATATTTTACAGGTTTTGGCACAATATCTTATTTTTTATCTTTATTGGAAAAAAAGTAAATATAC